GACTGATTTGATTAACCCACAGATTTTCATTGAAGTCGTCGTTTGGCTGCTCTCTTTGTGTGTTTGTCTATAATTTGGTAACTTACAGTGAATGAATTTTTAAATTTCTTTTTATAATTTGTATATTTTTCTATTAATCTTTGTTAATGTATATATAATTTTAATTTAAAGTTAGGGCTTAATGGAAGACCACCATTAGGTGAAAAAGTTATACCCTGGATAAATATTAGAAATAAATAAATGAATAAATAAATACATGATCAAGTTCTGGGTCAAATGATTTACCTTCTTGTGAAGTACCCGCATTGCATGTTTTTCGTGGGACATTTTACACCTTTAAACTGATTATCGACAATTTTGTGATAAATTGTAATCTCCCCATCATTTGTCTGGCTGGTTTGACCTGCCTATGTTTAGAAGGAAATACCATCATATGGTAACCGGAAAGATAACCTTTTCCTATAACTTGACAGGAAATATCTCACTGGATATCACAGAACAACAGATCGAACAGTACACACACGGCCATGAATAATTACCACGTGAACTGAGTTACTCGAAAAACTGTCCGCGCACTAACATATTGAAATATAACAGCGCAACAATCTGGACAATTGAAATTCCTTTTGTCAAGGGAATTCCATGAACTGTTAGGCCAATCGGTGTGTTGTCAATCCAACCTTTCCTGACGGATCGTCAGTTTGTTCAAATAACTCGGAACGAGAGGGTGATCAGGAACTTTTCATTTTCTACCAGCACCAGGACTCGTGTGTTGGTAGTCATGTCCATTGTGTGGATGGTTCTTTGTGTTGTTTGTATGACACAAGTTGTGGGTTCCACTCCGACAAGCGAGCGAAGGAGACGAGGCGCTCAAACTTGGGTTCCGGCTGTCCGCGATAATATCTGTCCGTGGTAAGTGTGAGTGTCCGCTTTTAATGGTCTTAAAAGTAAATTTGCTTTGATATCATTTATGCTCCACTTGAAGTTCTTGAATTGCTTGTCCACTGTGTTTGTAAACCGTCTTCTCTACCATTAATAATCATCCATAACTTGATTTTAAATTCTTTCGCAGATCAAATATTCAGCCGAGTAATTCATGGGGGGGAGGCGTAATCAACTGCTATTCAGAAGTTTTTTTGTTGGCCTAACTCAATTCACGGTTACCAATAGACAGTTATGGTTTTAGATATGAAGAAAATACGTTTTTTTTAGTTTTGGGGGTCGAATTCTAAAAAGAAGAACAACAGACGAAAGGAAAACAGCAGTGTGTTATAATGGCAGATGACGCAGGGTATTAGTATGAAATGAAAGGAACCTTGACACATACAATCATCTGGTAAAAATTCCATATTAAGGTCAATTACAGCTACCACGAACCTAACCCATGAAATTATAAAAAGGAAACAATTGACAAAATTTGCATATTTTGTTCAGACTCCACCAACTGCATTTCCAGTGTTTTAGTTCGTGGGGAAAATACAACAAGCTTACTAGAGTGAGTATCGAACCCACGACCTCCTATTTGTCAAACCAGACATATAGAGG